GAGGGAGGCCCTGCTGCTCCCATCATCCGAGGCCGTCTGCACCCGGGCTACGTGTGGGACCCTGGAGGGGGTTTGAATCCCTTAGGGAGATATCGACCCCCCCACCCCAGGCTTGTCTACCTGCTTCTGGAGGAGAGAACCTAGACTGCTCGGCTCCAGGCAGTCTGGACGTGGGCACCCGCTGTTGGCAGGAGCCGGCCATGAAAGAGCTGCACTCCACCTGGGGCCTGGGGCCCATGGGATGTTGCAGGTCAGAGGTGGGCTGGGGGAGCCGCAGCCCTGCGGGAAGCTGAGCCTGCACGCAGCCGCCCCTGGGAAGAAGGGGGCCCAGCGTCACTCCCCAACAGTCCTATTCTTGCACCATGTCCACGCCCCGCCGCAGGCTCAAAGACATAAACCTCTTCTCCAGGGGCACTGGCCTCTCCAAATCCGGACTAGGACAAGCGAGAGCTCATTAAACCTCTTCTTTCTCTGTTCTTCGGGATCTGTCATGTTTATGTTCAGTCCACCGGGTTGGCCATTCCCCCTTGGGGGTGAGTTAGATCTTCCCTTTGGGGTCCCCACCTGCCAGGCCCCCGGGTTTGGGGTGAATCCTATGGCATCCGACAGAGGGCTGGGGAGCGCCTCTGTTGGGAGGGGTGAGTCTCTGTGGCTGGGAGCGGCAGGAAGGGAGAGGGCACGGATCTCGGGGGCCTCCTCAATCATCCAAATGCCTGTTTTTTGAGCCCTGAGAACTCGGAGCAAGGAGGAAGGGACAGAAGAGCCCCACACTCCCCAGGAGGCTGCTGGAGAAGCTTAAGCTTCAGAAACACCCAGAGGCTTTTCAAGGAAAATCCAGCCGTGATAGGGATGTGACAGCACAGGGGAAGGAGACGGGCCTCGTCTGGGCCAGCCAACATGACCAGGGGAGCGGCTGGAGGCTGAGACGTCCATTTCCATCCAGGCAGCCGAGGGAAACCCAAGGGCCAGCAGGCCGTGTGTGTGCACCTGCTGTGCGCGTGTCGTTATGGCAGGGCCTCCCGCTGTAGAGCAAAGTGCTGGACCGACCCAGGGCGGGAGGCAACCTGCCTCCCTTCCCTTGCACGGTGGAGGGGTCCCCAGGACCGAGCCGTCAGCAGCACTGCCTGAAATGCAAAGCCACACTGGCCATCCGTCGGTGGCCTGGGTCCAGTGCCCTGTCAGCTGAGGCAACAGGAGCAGAGACCCAGACCTTCCCCCCTGAGTCCATGTGTCGTCCCCCCCACGCACCCCAGAACTCTTCTTCTCTAACGAAGGCCACGTGGCCTTGTGGAATTCGCCGCTGAGCCTTTGTAGGACAGGTGGCACCCAGATGGGACCCACCTTGCCTGACACTCTTCTTCCTCGAACCTTCTTTAAACGCCTGGGTAACCTCTCTGCCTCACACATCCTGCCCAGATGGCAGGAAGGAAGTCCTGGCAAAGGTGCATGAACCCAGACGCCCAGGGTCTAAAAGAAATGAAGAGCGTGCGTGCATGTGCGTGTGTGTGTGTGTGTGTGTGTGTGTGTATGTGAGAGAGAGAGAGAGCGCGAATGTGCGGGGAACCTGGAAGCAGAGGGGGTGAATGGCCAGCCGGGCAGGGATGGAGGAGAGGGAGGGGCTCTGGGCACCAGGCCATGCCCTGCCCAGCCTGGCCCAGGCCGTCTGCACTGCCGCTTTAGTGCTGGCGTTGGCGCGGGGGGCAGGGCTCTGAGCACCTCTCTGAAAGTGGGGCATGTGGTCCAGCCACTGCCCGGGCACTCAGGCCACTGAACAGGAAGGAGAGAGAATGAGAACTGAGGAGGCCACACTGCAGGGTGTGCCCGGGCTGGCATGTGGGTAAGGGGAAGAGAGCTCCAGAAGCGGAAGGGTGCCGGGGGTGGGGGTGCGCCTGCACTGTGTGTGAGTTAGAGGCCAGGCCACTGGGGAGACGAACCCTTCCCCTGGCTTTTCCTGGCCCCTGCAGCAAGGACAGGCAACAGGGCATTGAGAAGAGGGATGAGGAAGGTGGACTGTGCCTACTTCTCGGACCTCAGGGTGGCCAGTGGACTAAGAGTCCTAAAGTTCCATCCGTTGTCTTCCCAACAGCCACCCCTTTTCCCTACTTCTTTCTTGCTGTCAGAACTCAGATATTAGCAGCCCAGTTTTTCAGGGGAGGCTGGGACTCTCCCTCCCCAGGGATGAACCTGATTGATAAGTTAAACATGGTAATTCCATTTCGTTTGCTGGTGATCATGCATGGGCATGTCATGCAAATCTGGCCAATGACAGCTAAGGGGAAGAATGTTGGTGGAGAAAGGGTGCCTTCTGGGAAAGGCTTTCTGAGATATGAAAAACTGACTTGCCAGAAGCAGCAGCTACCCCTGCCCACCACCGTTGGATGTTGTTGGGTGAGGATGTGATGCCTGGAGCTTTGGCAGCCATGTTGAGATCACGAGGGAAGTAGTTCCAATGCTGAGGAAGGGAAAATGGAAAGAGAGAAAGAACCTGGGTCCTGAGTGGTATCCCAGGATCTAGCTGAATTAACCAAATGTGGAATTGCCTTACCTCTGGATTTCTTGTTATAAGAAATAACAAACTCATTTTTAAAACCACTCATAATTGAATTTTCTATTGATTGTTGCTTAAGGCAGCCAACCTGATTAAATTTCTGAAGTCAGTATGAAATAATTCGGATTATTTGCTATGATTCTCTGCTTGGGGGCAATGAAGGGATCTTGAGGTCACTGGAAGCCCAGCTTAGCTGGAACTGCTCCTTTCCCCTCTGGGCAAAACTTGCTGCTGAGTCCAGGTTTAGGGGCCAGAAAAACTGGGTTCAAATTCCACCCCTTTCTGTGTGCACTATGACTTTATGCTAATTATTTAAATGAGGGGTTGGCAAACTTTCCCTGTAAAGGGCCAGATAATAATTATTTTGGACCTGGTGGGCCACATAGTCACTGTCGAACTCTTCAACTCTTGTTTTAGTTCGAAAGCAGCCACGGACAACACACAAACGAACAGGCATGGCTGTGTCGCAGTAAAACTTTATTTTCAGAAACAGGTGGTAGGCTGGATTTGGCGCGCAGGCCATGGTAAACCAACCCCCAATTAAACTCCCAGTCTCAGCTTCCACACGAGAAAAATGAGGCTAATAATTTCTGTTTTCCTCCTGGGGCAAATCTGAGCATCAGATGAGTTGACTAAAAACTATCACCGCATAAAGGACAACGTCCAGGTGGCCCCATTTCCCCATGAGAACCAAAGATCCTGGCACTCAGGAGTGGCGAAGTGCTTGACTCTGCCACCTCCTATAGCTGTATGACTTTGGGAAAGTCACCTGACTTCTCTGAGTGTAACTTTTCTCCTCTCAAAGTGGGGATGCTAAGACCTACTTCATACAGTGTTGCAAGGGATTATGGGAATAGTGCGTGTAAAGTGCTGCACAGACCGAGCACAGTGAATGGCAGTGAGTGTTATTAAGGAGTAAAGCCCCTTCTTCTGACCCGGCAGCGTCCATTCTGTCTCACCCCACCTGTGTCCTGACATTCGGTAAATCCTGGTTTCCTCCCCCACTTCCCGTGGGCCCGGAGGCCCTTGGGGGGCTGCAAATCTCCCCAGGCCACGCACTCTCGCCCCCTCTCACCCACCCAATGCCCTCCCCACCACACCCGCTTCCCCATTTAACCGAAGGAGTAATTAGCAATGTTAATTCTAATCTCATTTGCTAATGAAGGCAGTCTAATTGCACCATAATTGGCAGCAGCAGCAGCAGAAAAACACAAAATAAACCCTGCGTGGGTAATTCGGTTTAACTCCTTTATAATTACCTTGCAGGCTGGGCCCCCGTGGTTGGGGGTGGGGTGGGGAGGTTGGGGACTCAAGAGAGATGGGAGCCAAGCCCTCAGGGTGGGAGAGAGGGTCCCACTGCCCTCCTTATCCCAAGACCCCCCAGACAAACTTCCTCCTCCTCTCTTGCCATCTCCCCCTTGGGTGGCGTCCGGGCAGACCTAGTCTGCAGGCCCACCTGCAGACATGCTCCGGTGAGGACATCCTGGCCCCCCGGGATCTTTATCCGCTCACCCTTCCCCAGCGACGCCTCTGTGAGATGGGAGTGAGGGCCAAGATCTGGTCCAGCCTATGCATCCTCAACGCACAGCTCTGACCTCAGGTTCCAGCCAAACACAACTGTTGCTCCTGCTTTTGCACAGGCCGGGTCCGGCCCTTGGTTTGGAATGCCTCCCACCCCCTCATCCGGCTGGAAACCCACCCATTTAAGGCCCTGGGAGGGAAGTCTCTCCTGCTCCCTAGGGGCTGGTTGCACCCCTCGTCCACTTCACGGGTAGGAACCCGCGTCATACCGCACACCCTGTTATTTTATGTGTGCCTGTTTACTGTTTACAAGCTTTCTCTGTCACTCGAGTGTGTCTTTTTCTAAGTACCCTCCGTGCCTGGCACAGAATAGGTGCTTGATTCTATTTTTGTAGAATGCTTGAATGAAAGCGAGGTGACCCTGCAGAAGGTTCTGGAAGCACGTGGTGAGGAGTGTGAGGAGCTTGCGTTCTGGTCTGGCTCACCTGCTGTGTAAAGTTGGGCAGCTTTCTGTCCAGCGGGAAGGCTCACGGTCCTTAATCTCCCCTTGTCCACCTGTTTTCAAAGTCGATGACTGCTTGAATTTTCATGGTGAAAATTCTTTCTCCCTTCCCCCAAATAAATACAATAAAAATACAACAAAAATAAAACAAGAAAAAGGCAGCCAACCTGGTCACATCAGTTCCAGGCCCTCTTTCTCGCTGGACGTCAAGTTCCCACCTGAACTTCTTGTACAACCTTCTGCCTCTCCAGCAGGTGACCTCAACCCTCATGATGAGTCCGTGTGAATAAGGAAGCATCTCCTCAGAACCCTAACAGAAGGTCTCCCGCATCTCACCCTAGGAAGCAATACTTCAATAGCTTCCCTTGCCTCGCTTTGTAGAGAACCAAGTGCCCAAGGTATTTGTTCTGCTTATACAGACAATCGTTTCCATAGCAACCGGCTGTGATGGAGGCTGAGCCACTGCCTTTGGTTAAGGGGTGCTAGGTGAGGAAATTTGGCATCTCAGAGTCTAAAGGAAGTGTGTGAGAAGAAGAGTCCTTCTTCGGAGCCTGGAGGCCCCACACGCCGTATCACATGTGGACATCCGCTCTCGGGGGAGCCTGTGGTCTCTTGGTTTCATTTTTCCCTTGGAGACTTCCCCCGGGGAGCCCTCCATCCTTCTCCTCCCGCCCTGGTGGATGCAGCTGCAATCCTGGGGCTCCTTCACCGCCACCCGGAAATCCCCTTGGCTTCTCCCCTGTCGGGATGTCACATTTCCTGGATGCCACACCTTCCTTCTTTCTTGGTTTATGCCCTGGTTTTGGTGGAGCGCAGGGGACAAAATTTCTGAGACTGTTTCTGGGGAGTTTGATGCCATGCAGCTTCTTGATCTTTTGTATGTCACCACATTCTTTTCTTTTCTCTCTGGTGGCTATAACACCTTTTCTTCATCCTTAGTGTTCTGAAATTTCCCCATGGAGTGCCTTGGTCTCAGGGGGCCCATTAATCTGGAAACTCAGATCCTTCAGTGTGAAGACGTTTGCTTCTGAGATAAGTGTCTCACTTCCAATTTCTCTCTTTCTGGATCCCCTATTAGTTACACGTTATACCTCCTGGACTGATTTTCTGAAATTTTAAAATCACTTTTCTTCTATTTTTCATTCTTATTCTTTTGGTTCTGCTTTCTAAGAGATTTCTTCAATGTTATCCACCAACCCTCCAGTGGAATTGCGTCTCTCTCTTTTTAATTCCAATGATTCTCTTTATTTATTTCCTGAATGTTCTTTTTCGTTCTTTTAATAGGAGACTGTTCTTTTTTCATGATGCAGCATCTTCTCTTATTTCTCCAAGGATAATTGTAGAGTTTTGGGATATCCTGCTCTTTCCTGCATTGCTTCTGTTTGATCTGAGCCCCTTTCTCTCAGTTTTTTGGGGGAGGTCTCCGTCTTGTGTATTGGATGCCCTGGCTGCCCGGAGGCCCCGTGTCTGGGGGCCTGGTGCGTGGCTAGAGGGTGGAGGGTGAACAGGGCGGGGGCCGTCTGGGGGACACAATCTCGGTGTGTTCTTGAGCGGACCTGTTCCATCAGGGAGGGACCGTCTGAGCTGCAGCCTGGGTGGTGGCAGCTGGGCTGCCAGAGTTCAGGAAAGTGAGCGGGACTAGGAGGCGTGTAGACCTCTGTTTTGTGCCAGCATCTTGCCCTCGGTGAGGCCTTGGGTTCTGGAGTCTGACGCCCTCCAGATCCACGGCTCTTCTCTCACGCCGGGGAAGCGGGTAGTATCTGGGGGGGCTGATGCTTCAGATGCAGACTTTCCGTGGGTGCCTCTCTTCGCAGCCTGACTTGAAGCCCCGCTCTGAGAAGCAGCTGCTCTCCCCTGCACTTGAGACTTTCTGGGCTTTTGCACCCGGAACCCGCCGGGTCCTGGCTTCTGCAGCTGCCAACTTCGATTTCGGCCTTCTCTGGCCCCCCAGCCAGTTATCCCTGCTCCGCTTCTCAGCGGGGACATTTCGTTGCTGTTGCCTTCTTCCTCTCCTCTGCTCCTGTCTTGTTTATGGCTTCAAACCCCTTCGTCATTTTTGTGCCATGTTGGGAGGAAGCGAGGTAAAGAGTGGTTCCTCACGTGTGCACAGCACTTTAGAGTTTCCAGAGCCCGTCCACATCCCTCCTCTCACTTTATCGGCACGAGAGCCTGGGGGGACCAGGCCGGGAAGGCGGTTTTCTCTGCTACATTTAACCAGAAATCTGAGCATAACTCCTCGAGCAGCATTTAGACAGAAGTGAAAGAGACTTGGAAACGGAGCTGAGGGGTGGTTTCACTGCTGTCGCCCTTGCGTCCCGTGCTCCCCACGTGGAATTTAATGAGAAGTGAAATGCCATTGGCGACGCGGGCCCAGTGGGAAGAGGAATTTGGAATCAGAGCTGCCTGAAACAGCCTGGGTCCAGGGCACCTGCAGTAAAATTGCTTTGATGTAGTAGCTGATGATGTGAAAATTAAAAGGTGAAAATCAAAGGCAGAGCCTGGTGGTGATGGAAGGCATTGAGGGGGCCCTTCGGGACTTCTGCCCTCTCTGCTCAACTCCTGGTTTTCTTTTCAGGCCTATCATTTCTGCTGGTTGGCATGGGGGTGTGTGTGTGTGTGCATATGTGCATGTATTTGCATGCATCCGTGTATGTGCATGCGTGCATCCATGTGCGTGAGCATACACCCACATGGATATGTGTACATGCACCCACGGGTGGGCATATGTGTATGTGTGTATCCATCAGTGTGAAAACATGTATGTGCGCGTGCATGCATTTGTGTGTGTGCAGGCATTTGTGCACTGGGAAAGAGTGACAGTTTGTGAATTTCAACTAGGTACAGTGGAGAGCAAAGGACGTAGACCTGAATTCAAGGACACCCAGACTCGTTTTATCTTAGGCAACTCTTTTGCTTTCTGAGTCTCCATTTTCTTATTTGTAAAATGAGGTTTATGATGTCGAAGCTGGATACCACATGGGAGGGAGGTTGCAAGAGTTCTTGGAGAGATATATGGGGACGTTGTAAAGGGTCAAGGATCAGGCAAATGTCATTCATCCATCCATCCATCCATCCATCCATCCACCCATCCATTCATTCATTCATCTGAGACACACTCATTGAGCATTTCCTAACAGGACTCCTGATGTGAGGAATACAGTTTCTCTAGGGGGAAACAAAGACACAGGCACCTACGACACCCCGTGCAGAGAACCTGGAGGAGCAGCAACCCCAGTGAGAGGAGGAGGGGACCCCTTAGAGGTGAAGGCAGGAAGTGGGGCAAGAGAAATTGACACTGCACAGGCAAAAGAAGGCAGGAGCCTGGGTTAAAACCCCTTTGGATGGAAGAACAGAAGCTCAAGTGGGTGGAGGTGGAGGGAGTGTGAGCTATCTGGTGATTTGTGGAGGTGGTCCTTAATGGGCTGGACACCATGATCCTCCGGTCCCCTGCCCGCCCTCCCAGAGGGCAAGATCTGGGAGTGCTCGCTCCTCTGCTTATTCTTTTATTCATAGTCAACTTTAACAAGCATTTATTAAGCTCCCACTCTGCTAACCCGGCTGCAGGCTCTGGGGATGTAGCGACGGCCCCACCCGGTGGCACTCAAAGCTGAGACCCCTGTTAGCAGCCCCACCTCCAGGTGCACCCTCCGGACTCAGGCTGTCTGCAAGGGTTCTCCCGGAACAATGTCACTGCGGAATTTTATGCTGTTTGTTCCCCTTCCAGGGGAAGGTCTGCCAATGGTTTTTATGACGCCGAATAAAAAGGTTTTTTTTCCCCCTTTGGATATTTTTATTTCACCTTTAAAGGATGTACAGTAAGGGTGAGAACATCTCGATGAAATCTCTGCAGTAAATAACTCTTGGATCGCTTTCTCATGCAGGTGGAAGGACAAAAGGACAGGGCAAGCTGGAGATGGCCTCCTCACCTTCCTCTTCCTCACAGCAGGTGGGTGGCGGGGCTCAGCTGGGCGGGTCTGACCCCCACTGCTCTAGAGGAGGGGTGGAGGGCCCTCCCTGTGGCCCCCGGGGTCCCTGTGTCCTAGCCCCTCTCTTTCCTCTATGGGAAGGGGCCGAGGCTCCTTGGCCACCTACTGTGTGCGCCACAGGCTGTGCTAAGCACTTCGTTGGTGTGAGGGCCAGAGTGGTCGGGATGGACCCGGTCTGCTTGGCTTTGGCTCCTGCCTGCTCCACATGCCAGCTGTGAGACCTCGCCAAGTTGTTTGACCCCTCTGTGCCTCAGTTTCCTCATCTGCAAAATGGGAATGACAACAGTACCTACCTACTAGAGTTGTAGGGGTGAAGAAATACATTCATGCAGGTGAAACACATAGAAGAGACGTGGGATATAGAAAAATGGCAAGAAGTGTTAGCTATTTTATTATCATTATTTCATCCTTTTTGTCAGCTGAACTGGCCCTGGCTGTGTGCCTGTCTCATTTCTCAGCTGAAGGGTGTCCGTGCTCTCGTTTGAGCCTGTGAGGAAGGTGGAGTTGAGTGTCCTGCTACGGCCATGCAGTGGGAGATCAGGGGACAACGGATCCCAGGGGGAAGTCCCCTTCTAGAAAAAAGCAGCCCCCCGAGGCTTGTGCAGCCCCGACAAGTTCTATTCCTGAGGCATCTTTCTGAGATTTTCCTCTTGGAGCTGGGAGGCAGAAGACCCAGAAGGGGGATGACTTCTCCGAGGCCGACGTCACCCCAGCACGGAGCCAGGGTCTGCACTCAGCTATCTCCGTGGACTCCTGGGCCCAGTCTCCTTCTTCCCTCTGGGGAATCTAGAGACGTGGATCCATCCCTATGGGGGCCTCAGACTTAAGAGGTTGCCCCCTGCCGCCACGCCCAGGAGAGGAGGGGTCCATGGTTGTAACTGGTGGAGATTCAAACACTTGACTCTAAGCTGGGCTGTCCCATGCATTGTTGGTGGCTGGGCTGGGGAGGGGGCCAGGGGGCGTGGGGTCAGCGATGACATGCCCACGGGCCCTGCTGGACTGAGAGGCACCGACCACAACCGTTTTTAATGAAGCTGTCAGCTGGGCCTCTGGGGCACGGGGAGCCGACTGGGCAGAAAATCATCAATTTACACAGATAATGAGTCAGAGGCTTGCGGGGGGGCGAGGGCAGCGGGGTCAGGAGGGCAGCGCGGGAGGAGCTCTGTGGGGAGACCACGGCACAGACAAGGCTCAGCTCGGGTGGTCCCAACCAGCTCCCTGCAGGGGCTTCTCCGTGGCCTTCAGGTCAGTTCTGCAAACCTGTCCTCAGCATCGGCTCTGTGCCAGGGGCTGAGCTAGTGCTGGGAACAGAGACGGGAGCGAGGCGAATCCGTGCCCTCAGGAAGCTGGTCCGAAGGTGGAGACAGACGCCAGGTGGTCAATTACACCATGCTGTGATATTGGCTTCAGAAACGCAGATAAGGGGCTGACTCGGGCATGGGGTCGCCTGAGTTTTCATCTTGGCTGGGCTCCCTCCTAGCTTCAGGACCTCATGTGGGTTACCTCACCTCTCCTTGCCTCAGTTTTCTCGTCTGTAAAATGGGGTGGACTATAACAGAGCTGTGACTATTATTGCTGTGTGACAAACTCCCCAGACTCAGTGGCATAGAACAACCCCCATTTTGTTGCGTGTTGACGGGTTCTGAGGGTAGGAATCTGGCCAGGGAGCAGTGGGGATGCCCTGTTCCTGCTCCACAACGGCTGGGGCCTCAGCTGGAAGACTTGAATGTCCAGGGGTGATGATCGTGGCCAGGGCTGCAATGGTCTGGAGGCATCTCCCTCACATATGACTCTAAGGCTGGCCTCAGCTGGCACTGTAGACCAGAGCCACTGGCGGCCGGTGTGCGGGGCTTGGACTTCTCGTAGCATGGTGGGTTCTGCAAGGGAGCATCCTGAGGGGAAGTGCCCAGAGATGGGGAGACCATGGCAGAAGCCACAGGGTCTTTATCACCTAGCCTGGGAAGGCACATGCCTCACTACTGCTGCCCTCTATTGGCTGAGGCCATCACAAACCCACCTAGGTTGAAGGGGAGGGGAGAGTTTTTAAACTGTCACTCTACTCATAGCATTGGATAATTAAATATGAGACATGCAGTCAGTCTCGGACAATGCCCATAAGCACCCAATACATGTTAAGTGTTATTGTAATTAGTGTTGTTGGGGGAGGAGGTGGTTAGGAAAGGCTCCAGAGTGAAGGGATATCAGAGCAGGGTTTTGAAGGATGAATAGGAGTTTGCTATGCACCACCTAGGAACACAGTTCAGGTAGAGGAAACAGCTTAGGCAAAGTCAAAGAAGGCTTGAAGCAATGATGTGTTCAGGGAAACCATCATTTGGTGTTGTTGTAGCATTGAAGGCAAGAAGGGCACAGCCGAGGTTATGTTCGAGGGGTGGCAGGGTAACGGGAGCCAAAGCAGTGCCTGTGGGCCCAGCCGAGAAGCCCAGATTCTGTCCCAAGGGTATCAGGGAGACATGGAGGAGTTCACGCAGGGGAGCGACACGGCCCTGTTTGTCAGAAAGATCATTCTCTCCTCTTTTTTTTTTTTTTCATTAATGTTATGATAGATTACAACCTTGTGAGATTTCAGTTGTACATTTTTGTTAGTCATGTTGTGGGTACACCACTTCCCCCTTTGTGCCCTCCCCCCACCCCCCCTTTTCCCTGGTAACCACCGATCAGATCTCCTTATCAATATACTAACTTCCACCTATGAGTGGAGTCATATAGAGTTCGTCTTTCTCTGACTGGCTTATTTCGCTTAACATAATACCCTCGAGGTCCATCCACGTTGCTGTGAATGGGCCAATTTTGTCTTTTTTTATGGCTGAGTAGTATTCCATTGTGTATATATACCACATCTTCTTTATCCAATCATCAGTTTCTGGGCATTTAGGTTGGTTCCACGTCTTGGCTATTGTAAATAATGCTGCGATGAACATAGGGGTGCAACGGACTCTTGAGATTTCTGATTTCAGGTTCTTAGGATAGATACCCAGTAACGGGATGGCTGGGTCATAGGGTATTTCTATTTTTAACTTTTTGAGAAATCTCCATACTGTTTTCCATAGTGGCTGTACCAGTTTGCATTCCCACCAACAGTGTATGAGGGTTCCTTTTTCTCCACAACCTCACCAACATTTGTCGTTCTTGGTTTTGGATGTTTTTGCCAATCTAACGGGTGTAAGGTGATATCTTAGTGTAGTTATGATTTGCATTTCCCTGATGATTAGCGATGATGAACATTTTTCATGTGTCTATTGGCCATATTCATATCTTCTTTTGAGAAATGTCTGTTCATGTCCTCTGCCCATTTTTTGATCGGGTTGTTTGTTTTTTTGTTGTTAAGCAGTGTGAGTTCTTTGTATATTATGGAGATTAACCCTTTGTCAGATAAGTGGCTTGTAAATATTTTTTCTCTTCTCTTTTTTTTTTTTTTTAATTTTTTTTAAAGATTTTATTTTTTCCTTTTTCTCCCCAAAGCCCCCCGGTACATAGTTGTGTATTCTTCGTTGTGGGTTCTTCTAGTTGTGGCATGTGGGATGCTGCCTCAGCGTGGTCTGATGAGCAGTGCCATGTCCGCGCCCAGGATTCGAACTAACGAAACACTGGGCCGCCTGCAGCGGAGCGCGAGAACTTAACCACTCGGCCACGGGGCCAGCCCCTCTCTTCTCTTTTTTTTTAAAGAGCAGCACCTGAGCTAAGATCTGTTGCCAATCTTTTTCTTTATCTTCTTCTCCCCAAAGCCCCCGGGTACATAGTTGTATATTTTTACTTATGGGTCCTTCTAGTTGTGGCATGTGGGACGCTGCCTCAGCATGGCCTGATGAGCAGTGCCATGTCCACGCCCAGGATCCAAACCAGTGAAACCCTGGGCCACCAAAGCGGAGCACATGAACTTAACCACTCAGCCACGGGGCTGGCCCCCAGAAAGATCATTCTGGCAGCATTGTGGAGGCGGGGTTGGAGGAGTGGGGAGGCATTACAGGAGAAGATGAAGAGGGCCTGACCTAAGTGGGCAGCGGTAAGGAGGAAGGGCGGGAGCTGGATGCAGAGCCATTTAAGCTGCCACCTCAGCTGGATGAGGGATGACCGGAGGTGGGAGGAGAGAGAGCGGTCCAGGGGAGGCGCAGCCCTGTGGCAGGAGCGTCAGGCTGTGTGCGGGTGGGTGGTCATAAACATCCACCTTGTTCCTGAGCAGGGCTGGGGCACGTGGCTGGCACTCAGTCCCTCAGGGCTGGGCCTGATCCCGCTGTCTCGCTGGAGGATGGCTTCAGCTCACCTCCGAATCCTTCCACATTGACGTGGGCCACGCCACTTGGGGTCCTGTTGGCTGTGGAGGTGAGGAGAAGAGGAGTTGAGAATACCCTCCTTGAGAACAAGGGCAATATCTTTTCCCTCCAGATGCCCAAAGTTTGGGAACAGAGGGGTCTCCATCCTCAGAGCCTTTCCCCAGGCTGAGGACCACGTGTTGGTGATCTTGGCTAGGGGGGCTGGGGGCCACAGAATGTCAGGATTCTAGAATGTTGGGATGGGACAGCCCTGGGAGGAAGCCCTGAGGCCGGCTCTAGACAGGGCTGGGTTTGAGCCCTCCCTGTGCCTCTTCCTGGCTGTGTCGTCAGGACACTGCGCAGGACTCCCTGGGGGGTTGCTTACGGGGTTCGGGGGAACCGCAGACGGAAACAAATGAGGAACGATGTCTGTATCCATATCTATATCCGTCTCCTATTGTAAGGAATTGGCTCACACCATCACAGAGGCTGAGCAGTCCAAAATCAGCAGGTGGCAAACTGAAGACCCAGGAGAGTTGATGGTGTAAGTTCCAGAGGGATGTGCCAGCTCAACAGGCAGGCAGAGGGAGCGCATTCTCCCGACTCCGCCTTTTTGTTCTACTCAAGCCTCCAACACAGTGGACGAGGCCCACCCATGCTGGGGAGGGCGCTCTGCTTTACTCAGTCTGCTGATCGACTCGATCTCGTCCAGAAACACACTCACAACACATCCAGAACGACGTCTAACCAAATATCTGGGCGCCCGGTGGCCCCGTCAAGCTGACACAAAACATTAACCGTCACACAAGAGATTGCTTAGGGCCACCCAGCCAGTGAGCGGGAGACCCAGAGCTCAGTCTATCCCAGGCAGAGGTGGGACGGCCAAGAGCAGAAGTTGCTGCCAGTGCCTCTAAACCACAGCAGGAGGCCAGAAGTGGCCTCCTCCCCAGAGAGAGGGCTGCGTCTGCGGCCATGGACCTGGGTTCTGGTTCTGGCTCTGCTCCTTTCTAGCTGAGCGGCCCTGGGCGGTCACTTCTCGGGAGCCCCGGTGTCCTTCTTTGTGCAGAGAAGGTGTTGTGTGAGTCTAGGATTTGTCGAGTGCCCATGTCACCGTGAGACAACATGAGGGGGTTTGGGGCAGGAGACTAACATTTAGCAGAGAGGACAGCAGAGGGGTCCAGATGTGGGTGCTGGAGCCAGCATCCCAGAGCCACCAACTCTGTGACCTTGCAGGAGTTGCTTACCTCCTTGTGCCTCAGTTTCCTCACCAGCAAGTACGGATCCAATGAGATAATGCATTCTAAGTGCAGAGCATCGTGTGGAGCTTGTGCAAACCCTCCAAGAATATCAGTCGTGAGTATTTGTCAAGGGCCCACCATATGCCTGCTGTGTTGGTTACATAAAATCCTCAGCTCATCAGATCATCCCAACGGCCCCAAGAGGTGGTGTGGCAGAGGCAAGACGATGTGCTCCACAGACCTTGACTCCTTTTCCTCCTGCACACACAGTGGACTACACTTCCCAGCCTGCCCTGCAGTGGGGCCACGTGACTCGATCTGGCCAAGGGAATGTGAGCAATGTAATGCACGCTGCCACCTCCAGGCTGGCCTCTCAGATCTCCTGCATGAGGCTCTGCATGTTCCCTCCTTCCTCCTCGGTTGGTTAACTGTAGAGGGTCTAAAGCAGTGGTTCCCAACCAGGGCGATTTTGCTCTCCCTCCCGCTGGGGAGACTTGACAACACCTAGAGACATTTTTCGTTGTCACAAGTTGGGGGAATGCTACTGGGGTCTAGTGGGTAGAGGCCAGGGATGTTGCTGAACATCTCAGAATGCACAAGACAGCCCCCACACTGAGGATTATCCAGCCCAGATGTCAGTAGAACTGACTGAGACTCCCTGGTCTGGAGGGTCCCTGGGCCCGGGGATGGTCTAGAAAGATGAGCCTGGGCCTCGAATGACTGTGCGGAGCACAGCCTCCTTGCCCCCAGGGTGTTAGACTGGAAGTAAGAAACATGTCTTTAAACCACGGAGATTTGGCGGATTATCTGCGAGAACAGTTGGCCTGCCTTGACTAACGCACCTGCTATTGTTAAGCCCATTTCATTGACGAGGCAACTGAGACACAGGTCACAGAACTTGTAAGTGACCGAGTGTGAGTTTGAACCCAGGTTTGCCTGGCTCTGAGACCTGCGCTTGCATCAGTATCGTGCAGGCTCTTTAAAGCTCCTGCTCCCAAGGAGAAGCCTCATCATCGTTTCTGTCCCCTCTGTCTGCATCGCCAAGGGGATTTTAGGTGGTGGCAGCTGCAGAACGAATCACCACATTGCTGCCGGGGCTCCCCTGCTCTGAGGCCTCCTGCTGTCGGGCGGCACATGCTCCCCAGGACAAGGTGGCTGTGTCCCCCCAGGTCCCATCCTGGGGCAGCCCAGGTTGGTTATCTGTGACACTGGCCCCATTAACAAGGGCTGGTGCGCACCCCCTGAATGTGTCCGCGGTCCTCTGCAGGGAGCCCCTCCCATCACATTCTCTGATCTCCTGAGCCAGCCTCCACCTGCTCCAGGTTTGAATTTCCGAGCAGGTGTCTGAAGGCATCTCGGCTCCCCGTTAATTTCCTGACTTGGCTTCCCGAAAGGCAGAGGGCTCGGAGGCGGCTGCCTGAAGCGATGAGGAGATAGCAGTGTCTGCTCTGGCTTCCAGCCTGTCTGCCGGGGCACCGCTGCCCATCACGCCACCTGAGGGCCCCTCCCCTGGCCGTCCCGCCACTCAGGGAGCTGAGAGTGGGGGCTGGTGAGCCTGGCTGTGGCTGGGCTGCAGAGCCTCATCAGGGAGAAACACATGTGTTCCAGCCCCCACAAGTGTGTGTGTGTGTCTGAATGAGCATGGTGGCGTGTTTACCTGCACCCATGATCCTAAGAGCTGGAGGAGCCGCCAACAGGTCATTTGGCACAGAGGATTTTTCTGTGTGTGCACAAGTTAGCACCCTGCCAATGCATTTTGGGGAGGGAGCCCCTCCTTTGCTTATGTAATTTCCAAGGGGTGAACTGAAGCCTGTACCAGTTTTCTGATGGGTAAGTCCTTCCTCCAGTCTGCTCAAAGTCCCTCTTGTTGCAGTCTGGGTCCATTGCCTCGATTTTGTGGAAATAGATGACATCTTTTTGCCTCTCTGATGTGAGCCCTTCAAATACCTGAAAACAGAAATTGAGCTCCTTGCTCAAAATACTTCCCAGATTCTCTTTTGCAGACCAGGCAAACCCACCTCCCTAACTTTTTTTTCACAGGTAAGGAGGACTGTGGGGGAAATGCACAGTAGGAAAAAATGTATCTGCAAGGTTCCTTTTTTGAGGGTCTTCCTTTCCTCCTTTAAAAGTTCCTATGGCTGCAGAAAAAGCACAGGCTATGGGAGCCAGGCAGACATGCGTTCCAAACCCTGCGTGGTCATTTATGAGCCGGGCAACCTCAGCCAAGTTATTTAACCTCTCTGAGCAAGGCTCAATTCTGGCACTTTGCACTGAGCAAGTCACAGAGCAGATGCTCAATGAACGTTTATTTTCTCCCCCTGCCTTCCTCCTTTCCTCCTCTCCACACTGACTCTGGGAATCAGGTGCCCGTGTTCTCCACCCCATCTCTCTCCCACGTTCTCTCTGACCCTTAGCTGCTGCTGCCTGGAAAGGATCAGATGTGCTCATGGCCTGCATCGAACCTGATCAGCTGGATGTGGGATTGGCACGGGCCACGTGCAAAGGGAAAGTAAGCAGTCCTGGTGGGACCCCAGGCACCAGCCACAGGGTGGGTGAAGGGAGAAGGCTTTCCCTGTTGCCTCTGCTCATGGAGCCCACTTCCCTCCAACCCCCCATCACTGAGTCCCTCTCTTGGCATCTTCTCTGTGGGTTTCCATCAGCGCCAGTGTCTCCTCTCTTAAAGCCACGACCCCAGCCCTGCTGGTCTTCAGGATGTGGTATGACGCAGGAGCACTTGACTCTGCCACAGCAGGATGCCCAGGGTTCTTAGAATCTTAGGGTATTGCAGGCATTTTCCAGATGGGAAAACAGGCTCAGAGTGGGGCCACGATCTGCCCAAGGCTTCCACCGAAGTGGGGTGAGACCCAGGGACCCTGACTCTGGGTCCACTGTCGTCTCCACTGTGTTAGTTAGAAGTGGAGCCCAGTTGTGACCTTACTCCCTGGGAGCTGGGAGATGCAAAGGTCCCTGAACAGAGAGGGGCGCGAGGGTGCTGTCGGGAGAGCTGCCTCTCTCCTTTCCAGGAGGAGAAAGGAAGAGGCCCAGGCTCCCTGAGGGAGGAGCCTCAGGAGGATGGTGGCTCATCTTCCTGAAGCCTGGGGCAGTGCTAAGTTCTTAGATCTGCCAGCAGCCTTTCAAATTGGCTGCTGCCACTGCCCTCAGCGTGTTGCACAGATCCTCACAGAGACAAGAAGCAATTAGGGAGTGGGGAGGAAGGGAGGGAGAGAGAGACAGAGACAGATTCAGAAAGAGATGGAAAGAGAAAGTGAGAGAGCAAGCGAGATGGTAGGACACAGAGCAACACATTCAGATACAGAGACAGACAGACAGCAAGACAGATGGAGAAACAACAGAGAGACTGAAGTGGAGAGAGACGAGGAAATAGATGGAAAGTAAGTGTGAGACGAGGGACACAGAGAGATGTGCAGAGTGAGGCAGAGGCAGCGGGGAACATCCTCACTGGGACAGAGAGCTGGAGAAGAGAGAGAGCTTGGATGGATACACGCACACGCCGAGTCAGAGAGAAAAAGAAATTGAATTGATTTAAAAAAAGACACAAACATAGACGTAAAGCAAGCAAGGGGATCCAAGGCATGAGTTTTCTTTTTACAGAATTTGGAGTTTTGAACTGGTCTGCAGGTGATGGGGTGTTCCTTCTCAGAATCATGAAATAATCAGTTTGGGTGAGAAAACTCTAGGGATCAGACAAATAACTGCGTGGAAGTTTGCATTTTCACACACACTTGAGCTTTGCAAAACCCCGTGAAGTGGGATGGACAGGGACCATTGTCACCAACATTTAGAGGTGGGAAATGGAGGGTCGGTGTGTTCTCAAGGCCCCCAGTGGGGAAGGGTCAGCGGCGTTTGCACCTCGGGAGCCTCCCTGGAGACCTTGCCCTCCTTGCTCTGGTGGTCTCAGCACGCCTTCCCGTGTTCCCAGGAAGTCTGCCCCGGGAGCCAGGAGCACATTCAGAAGCCGCCCTGGATCCTGTGCCCAGTACATCCCCCACCCCAGGGTGGCTGGAGGGCGCTGGGAATTACAGCAAACTCGTAATTCATTCCTGCCTCTCACTGGGGGCCGCCTGCGGTCGGAAACTCCCCTCCTCCCTTTAGCAAGTCAGAACTCCCACGGCAGGTCAGCTTGAGCGTTGAGGGCTCAGAAGGAACCACATGCTTCTTGTCTGCCTAGAATCCCAGCCACCATCTGACACCTGCCTTCGTCCCAAGGTGAGATGTCCAGCGTCTCAGAGGGCAACCAGGGACTTCGAGAAGAAACTTTCCTTCTTCCCTCCTCCCTTCCGTCTCCCCTCTCTCTTGCTCATTTTTCAAGTGTTCAGTACATGCCGGGCAACTGTTGTAGGTAGTGAGGAATATGGCACTGAGCAAAATCAATAAAAAATAGATTTAAAAAAACCCCTGCTGTTAAGGAATTTACATTTTAGAGGGGGTGACGAAAACAAACAGAATTTTAAAGATAGCATTATTGATGATGACATATGTTATGAGGGGAAAAAGTAAAGCATGGAGGGGAGATAGGGGCTGTTGGGGGTACAGTACATAGATGAGAGCCGGGAAGGCCTCACCTAGCAGATGATGGCTGAGTAAAGATCTGAAAGAGCAGAGGGGCATGTGAATATCTGAGCACGTGGAACGGCCCTGAGGCCGGAGCAGGCCCGACAGGGGTGAGGAATAGCAAGGAGGCCAGTGTGGCTGGAGCAGAAAAGACGCAAAGGAGAGTGAGTGGCAGGCGACGAGCGCAGAGAGACAATGAGGAGGAGCAGAGTGGGTAGGGCCATGAAGGCCACTGTCACGACTTTGGCTTTTACTTTGAGTGAGATGGAGCCATTGGGGGCGGTCCCGGCCTAACTCCGATTGTAACGGGATGGCTCTGACTGCTGGACTGAGCCTGCTGTGAAGAGGGCAAGCGCTGCCACAGGGAGACCAATTTTCCGACATCAGCGAGGTTCCGAGAGGGCAGAGGATGGAGAGGCACGGTTCCTGCTCTCCAAGCGAGTCGTACTTAGTACAAGACGTGGGGGTCACGGGGACAGGCCACCTTCACTTCCACGCTGTGCACCCCAGATGGAAAAAAGGGCTGAACTTGCCACGTAAGCTTCTGAGTTAGACACAGGAGGGAGGCGGAGAAGAGCAATTTTAAGTAGATGTTAGGTGCTGAGCACGGTTCATACCTGTACGATTTAATTTAAGTCATCACACCAGCTTATGAGATATTCTTCCCTTTTTCTAGACAAGGCCCCCGAGGCGCACAGTGGTTAAGGAGCTTGGCTGAGCCTACGCAGACAGGCGGGAGCTTGGTGTCCAAATAGCCGCGGCCCTCTGGGAAAGCCCCGTCTAGCGCCTCCGGGCCGCTGCCTCGCCTGGGTACCCTCCCTCATCCCGCATCTGAGAGCCCCAGGCCCGCGGGCTGCTCTGGAGCGTCTTGGTTCCCTCCATCCCTCTTCAGGGGAGGCTGGCTGAGTCCTCGAGCGGGTGAGTCAGACTCGCGCAAGCTGTTTCCTCTACCTGGAACGCTCCTCTCCAATCCTCTTTCCTGGCAAACCCCACTCACCCTTCGAGTCTCAGATACCAGGTTAGTTTCTTGCCCACCCCTGGATGAGGTCGGCCTCCCGACCACGGGCCTTATCCAGCACTCAGGAATTTTCCTTCAGAGCTCATCTCGGGGCGAAGACGGGAGGGGAGGAGACAGAGATGCCCAGGGAGGGACAAGTAGGACGCTGGGCATCAGGGGCATGGGAGGGTCAGGATGGGCTGCTTCCACAGCTACGCGGAGGACCGGCCCAAGGACACGTGGACCTGCCGGGGTCAGGTGCGCAGTGAGCTGCGGGCAGTGCCTGGACGCTGTCCCCCTGACTGTGAGACAGGGAGATTTCCTTCATCCCTTTTGTTATCTTCTCTTCCTCCTCTCCCGCATTCACAAGCGGGTCGGGGGAGAAATCGAGGGAAATGGATGGGCCCCTGAGAAGTGAGACGTCTGTTCCCACACACACAGTGGGGCCTGAACCTGGGCGGAAACACCAGCACCCATCTCCCAGTTGGACCCCCTCCCATCAAGCCACAGCCCCTTCCCACATGTAGGGCCCAGCACCTCTTTGCCCTCCTCGCTCATACCCTTCCCTGCAGCTGGAGGAACGGAAGGACCCGCCCAGCCTGGGGTCTGTCCGTGGCCGCCTCTCTGCTGCTGTGGCAGGGGACGGGCTTTTCCCTCCCCTCCTTTCGCTCTGCACTTCCACTGGGGCCCACAGCTCCCTGTGGGACTGGCAGACACGTCGTCCAGAGGGATGGCTTAAGTGTTCCCGGGGTCTGGTGGGGCTGTCGCTGGCGGAGGCAGCGGGTGATGGTGACCATGAGTAACTTGGAGGCAGTCAGGGGTGCCCCCTGCATGCTCTCACTTAATCCTAGGGAGGGAGGATGTTGGGGACCAGGGCAGGAGACAATGGTTGTAGGTGACGAGGAAAGGTCCACGTTGGTGAAGATAGTTTTTTATGGCCTGGTCTCAGGCATTTTGGTTTTGTTTTCCCTTTGTCGGGAGAAGATCTGGTCCAATGTTATCCCTGTTATTTGTGTTTCTCCATCATCGAGACATCTGAGTAATTCATTTGGTGCTGGCTTCTTGTAGCAAGCTGCGGGAGTGGCATGGGAGAAAGGACACAAGCCAGGAGCTAGGAGACTGGACTTGCCCTGAAAGGCTGGGTGACCTAGGGCCTCACTTGTCCTCACTGGTCCCTGTGTTTGTAGGATTAGGTTTGACCGGAGAACCTCAGGCTCCTGGGTGGACCTTGGCAGGTCAGTGTGGCAGATGGATGTGGCCAGACCCTCTGGAAGGTGACTCTGGATTCTGTGGGAGGTAAGGCCTCTGGCTGCCACCAGGCTCTGCATGTCTAATGTCGTCTCATGCTGGGAAACTCCAGGCTGGCCTCCCCTTGCCTGGCTCATTTCCCTGCCTGGGCATCCTCAGTGAGGTTTTGACCCCCATCTGTCTCTCCCTTCCTGATGGAAATTTCCCGCCAATGCAGCCATGGCCTCCGTGAATCCCAGCTTCTCTGGGTCTGGGAACACTTCATTTAGCAGACGTGAGGCTGTGGGTCTCCGCCTCGTTCTGACCGTCCCCTGGCCAGGGAGGAGTGTGAGGACAGATGGAGCTGTCAGATGTGAAGAAGGATGCTTCTCTCCTGGACCTGGACATCCCTGCTTAGTGGTGGTGGTGGTGGGGGGGATGGGCTCCCTTGGGGGAAACAGGCTGGGAGGGACGCTCTCTGTTTATTCCCCCTGGTTGGTGGCAGGAATAAGCACCAGGGGCTAGAAGACAGGGCCCCAGTTTTGGCTTAGGTTCTAACTCACTCTGAGCATCTCTCCCTCTCTCTCAGCCTCAGTCTCCTTAACTGTAAAATGAGGTGGTTGGGTGATGTCAATATTCTCGAACGGTGGTTCATGGGCACCTGCATCAGAGCCGCCTGGCTGCTTGTTAAAAATGCGGAGGACCGGAACCCTCTGTAGATCTTCAGTGCCAAACTCCTGGGCAAGGGCCTGGGAATCTGTATTTTAGCAAATGCCAGCCAGTGCTTCTGATGCATGTGAAGGAAGTCTGAGCACAGCTGGAGCAGAGGACCCCTCAGGCCTTCGGGCATTAGTGCCATCCTAGCCTGCGTCCCTCATCTCTGGTGATCAAGGGCTTGGCGCCACGTGCCAATGTTATGTCACGTGAAGTAGGAGGATCTAGGGCAGTCTCTCTCTCTCTCTTTCTTTAAATAATGGCATGGCACTTTTTATTTTTTTTAATCAGAAAAATAAGCCGTGCATTTCTGGGAGGGAGACGCTGGGTGAGGACCAGAAGCCTAGAGAAGAGATTACTCGGAATTACATCCTCAGGGGATGCTGTAGGGGAGAGGGATCCACCTTAATCTGTGCGGTCCTGGAGGCAGATCTGGGACTCAGGGTAAATGCTGAAGGAAGCAAGTGCTTCCCAACAGTCAGAGCTCCACAGGCCGCCTTCAGCGGTGGTGAGTGCCCCGTCCATGGGGGAGTGTAAGCTGGTGTTGTGTAGTCTCTTGGGAAAAATGTGGTAGAGGAAGAGCCTCAAGCAGCTGGTGGATTTGAAGACATTTCTGAAGCTCCCTTCCAAGTCAGAGCTGCTAGGACTCCATTAAAGTCAGGCAGTTTTGCCCGTCCATGACTTAAAGCAACGTGTGCACACCCATGCACACGTGCTCGCACACATGTGCTCACACACATGCAAAGAGACACTCGTGCGTGCAAACCTTCAGGCACATGTCCATGCGCACACGAGTACACGTTAGCCTCCGCGACACACACGCATGTTTCCTTATGCAGTAAGTGCACCCAGGTCCCCAACCATGCGTGCATGCATAAACACACACGCATGTGCGTGCAGATTCCATCCTGCGGCCACCCGCCTCAGCCTCTGTCCTCCACCCGTCGTTCCCTCCCGTGCTGAGCCGGGGCGTCCCTGTGCAGCTTCCAGGCTGGTCTCTGGAGTCGGAGCCTTAACCTCCACTAGCTCTCTTATTTCCGGCACCAAATTAAAAGTGTGACCCAAAGTTAATTACTCTAATTGAATTTGGCCCTGATGCGGTACACGCGGTGACGGGAGGCCCGGTGGAGGTTCGGCCTGCAGGAGCAGCAGGGGACACCTGAGGATGTAATGCGTCCTAGGGGCTCTGCGGGAAAACGCCCCGGAGCCTTTTTCTCTGCTGTTTCCCTGCCGCGCCCCCGGCCCCGGCCTCCAGACTTCCTAGAAACCTCACGGTGCTTTGGGAGTGTGGCCCTGGGCAATATTTGAGGACACAGCAGGCCTCTCTCCGGAGGCCAAAGCAGAGGTGGAAAGGGAACCGTGCACTACGTGTGTGCTGTGCGCATGCACATGCGGATAGAGCCCATAGTCCAGACCCTCATGTCAAAAAGCCTCTGGGGAGCCGAACCAGAGCTTGTCTCGCGAGAACACGCTGTTGAAGTCTCCCTGAGCCTTCCTCCTTGGACAAAGCTGAGAGAAATGAGGAATACTGCCTTTGCTGGACGCTTGGAAGCAGCCAGCCCTTCTCTCCTCCAGCTCAAATTGCTCATCGGCCTGCTAGTCCTGCCTTCACTGCCCCCTCAGACTTGTCTGTTCCTTCCCCACCTGTCCCGCTCAGGAATGTCGATTTTAGGGGCTCAAATCCACCTTTCCCTAGTCAGCAGCTCTTCCCCAAAAGCTGTCTCGTCCCCACATTTGAACATGGGGCCCTTGATGGGTGCTGGGGCTGGAGCAGCTGGGGTGGCATCTGAAGGAGAATTAGGATTTGTGCCCTGAGGGCTCTCACTCGAGAATCAAGCCCAGATTTGGGGAAATCCTGATGGGGGAGGCAGCATCTTAGAGGGGGATGATGGA